TATTTTTTGTAGTAGTTTTTCTGTCAATTACCTTTGTGTTTCCAGATGTATAATTACAGCATGTGCAAACATAGTTTTAAATATTTGTTTTCAATTCTAAAGCCATTTTAAATTGCCTTGGCTAAATCTCCAAGAAAGGAATAGAACAGGTGACCAGGTATTTTTAGTGCTGTTTTCTGACCTTAGGGGAATCGTCCTCATGCTTCTGCTTGAGCTTTTAAGAAAGACTTGTTTTGTTAAGTTAGGAAAGATCAATCAATTCCTACTGTTGAGTATTTTAATTTAACATAAATACATGTTGAATTCTTTTAAATAGATGTTTTTGTAACCATGAGTAGAATCTCCTGATGTCTTTCTTTACAAATATGATGAACTATATTAATGGATTTCTTAATATTGAATCAGTCCTGAATTCCAGACATAAACTTTACTTGGTCATCATATATTACTTTTACATTATATTATTTTCAGTTTGTTTTCAAATGATTATTTAATGTGTGAAATTGTGCAAATTTTAATAGCTTAAATTGTATATATGGCCAAATAAAAATTTGCATTAACAATTAGTGTGGCTTGTGTCATAAGATCTGTGTGTTGGGCTCCTTTTCCTTGCTGAGGTTGTAGAGTTGAAAATGTCCTGGAATCTCTAGGAGCAAGGGTTTGCATGTAAGCCAGCACTATCCTTGGGGACACTGTTGGTAATTAAATGATTAGAAAGATTTACCCATTTTGCATGCGGAGAAACTGAACATCAGAGAGGTTCAGTAGCCTGCCTTGGGTCAGAGACCAAGTAGGGCAGTTGGGATCTGAATGCTGTCTTAGCCAGTTTGATGCTGGGGTGCGGTGGGGGTGGGAACTCAGGCCTTTGGGTCCTGCAACTTCAAGGATGTTGCAAGCGTGAAGGCTAGTTGCCTGAGGGTGGGATGGGATGGCAGGGGCAAAAGGCCAGCATCTTCCACCCTACAAACCCCTGTCCAGCCTTGATTCCAGGTCAGTAGGCTGGGGAGGAAGGCTTTGTGCTGGGCTGTGAGGAGCTCCCAGGCACCCTCTTGTGGTCAGGCCTGCCAAAGCTAATCACTTCACTTACTGGAGCTGGAAACCCAATCAGGCCCAAGTCTGGTGTGGAATGGAACAGGGACCAAGACTGGGCCCCCTATCTCTCCATCAAGGAGAAAGAGCCCAGAAGCTGACATGGGCACTCAGTGCCCCTGTGCCCTTGCACACCTCTGCCCAGCTCTGCACTTGGAATGTAAGACCTCCAGGACCCATGTCTGACTCATCTGTGTTCTTCATTAGCCTCCACCCTGGCCTAGAGCAAGGGCTCAGGGACATCTGCAGCAGTGAGGTCCAGAAAGCCAAGGAAGGGATGTACCCAGTAGGTCTGCCCTGCACTACCCTCCCCTGAACTGGGTTTGGCTATTGCTCCACCAGACAATAACCCCTAGAATTTGAATAGCTGAGCCCCAGGAGTCCCAGTAAAGGGAAAGCAGGAACAGGTCAAAGTAGGGGGTTAGGTGTGTGAAGGAACAGCAGCTAATGACCCACATTCACTTAGCTATTCCTGGTAGGTGTCCAATGTTAGATAGCTCTCCCACGGTGCTGACACCTGTGCAAAGGTTCCCATTTCCTCATTTATGCAAGCAAGGCCTGACCTGAAAGCCTTTTAGCCTTCACACTCTGCCCTGCCCAAGCCCTTGGCCCTGGTCTCTGTATCACCTGTACAAGGGGCCCCAACACTCCCCTCCTAAGTATCCCTGCACTAAGGATCCGTGCACTCCCATCTGTGGGGAATGCTGTCAGGCAGGCTGCTCAACTGGGACTTAGAAGCCCTTCTCCAGGAGCCAAGCTTTGAGCTGCTTGCTGGTTAAAGTAGCTGAAGAACCCACAAGGTACCTGTCACCTCATTGACCAGAATGACAGGTCTCTTTCCCAGCAATGGGCTCAGAAAATCTTCCACATTCTTTGGTAGGGTCCAGATTTCCTACCTCACTTCTGGATCATAGTCATCTGGTGGTTTCCATGTGTGATGTCCTTGTAGACAGGGATGTTGTGCTTCTGAGAGCACCACACAAAGTAGGGCAGGTTGGGTGGTGGTGGTGTCTTTGGGAGACTGCCAGCCATTAGGGGTGGGATAATGTTCATACTGGGGCTTAGGGATGCTGGTGGGGGGTAACAGGTGCTCCACAAACTGGTATTCATCCATAGAATCCACAAAGCTGTGGTAATCATGCACAGCCCGGGTGTGTGCAGTGCAGCCTGCAACATGATTGCTGCCTTCTTGGACACTATTTTTCAGCTTTTTACTGTACTTTATTTTAGATGTTTCCATATGTATGCAGATGTGAGTCTTTAATATTCATTTTCGTACAAACTTTAGGACATTTAAGTATAAGTATTTTATTTGATTTATAATAATCATTTGGAAATTTTACTTTCTCTTCAATGGTCTTGAATTAAGTAAGTAACATTGGCTTGTCTAAGATTTAAAAGAATGGAGGAATCTGCCTCCTAATCTGATTCTGGGCTTTGATTTATGAGGGACTCTTACGAACTTCTTTCTTTCCTTTAAGAATATTGTTCTGTTTAGACTCCCTATCTCTACTGAAGTCCGTATTGGTAAAGTATATTTTCCTAGAAAATGTCCATTTCTTATAGGTTTCCCAGTTAATTTGTATTGAGTTGGGGAAATGGGGAAAATATTTTCTAATCTCATTTATTAATATCATGTTCTTTTTTTTGCACTTACCAAACTGAAAATCTGTCTTGGGTAGTTTGTATGATTCTATTTTTCTGTAAGTTAAATGACGGTGGTACTCAGGGGTCTGAGGATTAAATTCTCAGGGATGCACAGAATCCAATGAGACACAGGAGCTTCTGTCCTTCATGGGCCAGACCTCAGCATTCCCTGCTCCTTCCATGAGAGACCCTGTGTGCCTCCGGGAATAATGGAAAAGGAAGCATCTCTGTCAAACATATCTTTGCATATGCTCACTAGAAACTTCTAAGACATTCTGGGAATTAAAAAGTTTTTCAGAACTATTCTCAGTTCCCCAAGCGTGAACGGTCATTGCTGCTACTGGTGAAATGATAATTGCAGTTCTGTGGGGAGATGAAGTCACAGAATCATAAACACACAACTCAGGCTCTGGCGGCCTCCCACACACGCTCTGGCTGTTACGTCCATCACACTGAGCTCACAGTTCTGGCAGCAGGAAGGAGGCTGGTATTTTATATTTCAGTCTGAGAGGCACAGTCTGTAAAGAAAGGAGGTGTATCAGAAAATCTGGGTAGGTGTGCATGTCTGGGAGACAAACTTCTTTGTAGTAGAAACTGGTCCAGTGGCAAAACTACACAAAAAGGAGGAATAATCTTGGAGACACCGGCTGAGTTTGCAGAGAGAAATGGGAGGTCTGAGGTCCTAAACTGACCCATGACTGCTGCTGCTAATATAATTCAGTGAAATCCTCATTGAAGAGGTTCTTGGTGTTGGATCCAAGTGTTATCAAAGTCTGAATTTTAATACGCTTCAATATTATAATTTAAAAATTAATTTGCAAGAATAGTAATTTCTGTAAAAGCTATGTTCATGGATGGGATAATGAATATGATGGAGTAAATTGAATTATCTAATTCTCAGCAGAAACTGTGACTGAATAGCAATCACTGAAATATAATTATTTTTCTGTTAGTTGTCTGTGATATTCTTAATGGAGACAATAAATGTGTCTCTACTGAAAATAACTGTGATTTATTAACCACGATGAGACTAGTTTCCTTCCTTAAATTAGCGAAGGTCCCTTAAGAAAAGGTTAACATCATTATAGAGGGTTTCAGACAGCAAACAATTAACTTAAAAATTTTTTTTAAATTTTATTTTAAAGGAATAAATTAATTTTTAAATATAACCTCATCAGCAAAAAAACAGTTTTAAGGCTCATATGTTCCTTGTTATATTTTCTCTAGTTTAGAAACATTTAAATGTTATTCCCGTGCTCACTACTCATCTCTTTCCCTTATCAATTTATTAAATGTATAATATTCCATGCCTCTAAATTCCATTTTGCATATTTGCATTGTATTTTAATAGTTTTCCCAAACAAAATATTAATTTGTTTCAATTAGCTTTTCTAAAATAAACATATAGTTATATAATCTTTAAAGAAAATTAATTTATCTTCTACCCTAAAATACTTTATCACTTATTTATGTTTCATGTCTTATATTTTGGTGCACAACCTAATTTTGTACATTAATTTCTGTGATGGATGCCATTGTATTTTTTGCCCAGGCAAAAAATGAAATGAGTTTTTCTATTGCTAGCCTAATATTTATCCACATTAAATAAATCAAATTGGGTCACATAAAATTATTCAGTGCATCTATAATTAAGACCTCTGAATCTTCATTCATAAGTTATATTGGTCTATAGAATAAATACTTAACAAAATGGGAAATTATCAAACCAAATTTTAAAAGTAAAATAAGTTTACAGTATAACAAAGTATGTATGTATGCATGTGTGTATGTGTGTATAATATGCACATATATACAATTTCAAGAACACAACTAGGTAACTGTTATAGTATAGCACAGTAGTAAACACCAATGTCATTGCAACTAGACTACCCATGTTCAAATCCTGACTCTACTGCTATGTAGACAAGTCAGTTAACATCCCTGTGGTTAAATTCTCTTAGTTCCTATATAAGAAATATAGGAAAAATAATATAAGAAAAATATTAGTTCCTAACCCATGGAGTTGTAAATTTTAAATGTTAGAATAGGTAAAGCATTAAAAAAAAAAGTGCCATTGTAAGTGCCATAAAAAGAAACACATGAAACTTGGGAAATCTCTTAAAAATATATATTTTACATATTTATTCTCAGGTGCAGGAATAAGTGAAGATATTATTTTCCATGAAAATGTAGCCCACAACTTATGTTTCCATGAAGAAACTTCTGCTTGTGGGTTTGAATATTGATTCCTGGAAAATGACAGAATGGCTTCCATGGATTTGATAATAGGAATGATGTTTTTATTTCAAATCGTCATTGGAATCCTGGGGAATTTCCCACTCTTATATCATTATATGTCCCTTTATTTCAGGGGATGTAGGTCAAGACCCATGGATTTGATTCTCAGGCACTTAACTATAGCCAACTCCTTGGTCATTCTCTCTAGAGGAGTTCCAGAAGCCATGGCAGCTTTTGGGTTGAAACAGTTCATGAATGATTTTGGACACAAAGTTCTTTTATATGTTCACAGGGTGGGCAGGGGTGTGTCTATTGACACCACCTGCCTCCTGAGTGTCTTCCAGGTGATCACAATCAACCCTATGAACTCCAGATGGTCAGAGATTAAAGTAAAAGCCCAAAAGTACACTGGCCCCTCCAGTATCCTGTGCTGGGTCCTCCACATGCTGGTAAATATCATTTTTCCTATTTATATGACTGGCAAATGGAGCAACAAAAACATCACAAAGAAAAATTATTTTGGGTATTATTCTGCTTCACTTCATGACACAGTTATAGGCTCAGTATATGCAGCACTGACATCTTTCCATGATGTGTTGTGTTTGGGACTCATGCTCTGGGCCAGCAACTCCATGGTTTTCATCCTGTACAAGCACAAGCAGCGGGTCCAACACATTCATAGAAATAATCTTTCTCCCAGATCCTCCCCTGAGACCAGAGCCACCCAAAGCATCCTTGTCCTGTTGAGCACCTTTGTGTCATTTTATGCCCTTTCCTTCATCATTTATGTTTGTTTAGCTGTCTTTGATAATTTAATTTGGTGGCTGGTGAACACTGGTGCACTGATCACTGCATGTTTTCCAACTATTAGTCCTTTTGTTCTCATGTGCCGTGATCCCAGAATATCCAGACTTTGCTGTGTCTGCCATGGAAGAAAAACACAATTCCCTCATCTCATCAGAAAAATATGAATTGTCTGTCTTTCATCTTGTTCAGCTGTGGATTCACTCAGACCTCAAAAAATCCAAAGAATGCCAGCCCATGGCTCACTTGGGAGAGTGTGGCACTGAAAAAATCTGAAGAACAATTATGAGCCAATTTCACTGTAGAGAGAAGGGTGAACAAGACAGACTGAGACTGGCCCAATATAAAATAGTAAATAATAATAGCCATACTAAATTAAATCTTGTGTACTTAATATGTAAACACTTATATAGTTGTGTTTTTATTAATGGTTGCCGTGGAGAGATTCAGATTCCATAAATAGTCCTGAAGTAATGTAAAAATACTGTAAATGTCTTTGTGTAACTTTCAATCTGAGATATTAAATTTTCCCAAGATGTACCTGAGCTTGAAATTGTATGGACAGTTTCATAAAAGGGAATAGCATGTGGGTGGTCCTTCAAGTAATGGGGGGTGGGAGAAGTGAGCCTCATTTGTAATGTAAACAGTCTGGGGTGAAACTAGCAGGAAAATTAAGTTTTAGTTATTGTAGGCATCGGAGGACAGATTGTGACTATTGTGTCATATGTTCTAAGAGAAATTGTGGACATTTGAAATATGATAATGCTTTTGGAGAAAGATTAGCATATTAAAATATTCTCAAGTAAACATTTGAAGAATGATCTTTAGAGGACAAAAAGAAACATAGGTAGATGTGTTAGCTGAATTTTAAGAAGGGTGCAGGTGGGAGGCAACCAGTAAATAGAGATTTGGTATGTGAGAAAAAATTGAATGAATTTTTGGGATATTTAGAAGGTAGATTGTTCTGGGTTAAGCTTCATGGCAGTTGGCTATGTTGACAAGAAAGAGGTATCAGGATGGACTTTTTCATTTCCAACTTGGGAAGAAAAGTTTATGGAAGAGTCTTTGTTAGGCTTGGAGCAGTAGGTGAGTACCAATTTGAAGCTGAAAGACATAAATCTATTTTGTTTAATAATCTGTTTGTATATTCATTTTGAAGTGGCCAAGAGAGCAAAATGGACACCTCCCCCCCCGAAAAAGATATTAATTAAAACATAGAAACATTTTAATATAATCCTCTGTAAATTATAAACATTTGTAATTTTTTAAAGTAAACAATTTATTTTGGATCAATTTTAGATTTGCAGAAAATTTACAAAATTTGCAAAGATAACAGAGAGTTCCCAAATATCTGTTAACCCAGTACTCCTAATGTTAATATTTTGCCATGGTAGCTTGGTAAAAAGTAGGAAGCCAACACTGGTATATTACTAGTAACTAAACTCCAGATTTTGTTCACATTTCACTCATTTTAATACAGTCCTTTTTCTTTTTCAGGATTTAATCCAGGATAGCACGTTATATTTAGTAATCTTGTCTCCCCAGTCTGCTCAGTGTTTTTCCTTGTTTTTCATGACCTTGACAGGTTTAAATACTGGTTCAGTACTATTTAGAATGTCCCTAAAATTGAACTTGTCTGATGTTTTTCTCATGGGTAGATTGGTTTTATGGGTTTTGGGGGAAGAAAATCATATCTCATCATATCATATACTGTCAGAAGTTTCATGAAATTAATATGTCTAGTGACATTAATCTTGATCAGTTAGTTGAGGTAGTTTTTATCAGTTTTCTCCACTATAAAGTTACTATGTTTTCCTTTCTATACTCTATTCTTTGGAAGGGAGTTTCCAAGCCCAGCCCTGCCCTCACTCAAGTGGGCATGTGTGTGTGTGAGTGTGTGAGTGTGTGTGTGAGTGTGTGAGTGTGTGTGTGTGTGTGTGTGCGTGCACGCGCGCTGGGTGGAGCGAGGCATTGAATTAAACTCCACACACTGGGGGGTGAATATCCACATATACTATTTGCCATTCTTCTGTGAGAAAAGTTTGTCTTTTCTCCCTCATTTATTTGTTTATTCGGTTATTTACTCATCAGCATGAACTTATTTATATTTATTTTATACTTTGTGCTATGATTCAACACTATGCCATTTATTTTGCTACTTAAATTGTTGCAGCATTGGTCGCTGGGAGGTGTGATATAATAAAAATTATATATATATATATATATATATATATATATATCTGATCTTTGTCCTTGATTTCTGTCACACATCTTCAAAAATTCTCTCAGAATTTCCTGAATGATAAGAGGAACTTTGTCCTACTAATAAAGCAACTCATGGCAGGGGGTTCCTACTGAGGGGCTGGTCAACAGAAAAACCAACCGTGTAATCAGAGGTGTTGGAGTGAGCAGGACTTGAGCCATGTTGGGACTTAAAACCACATGGGATTTAGGAAAAAAAAAAAAGAAAAAGAAAAAGAAAACCAAAGGACATTTTTTTCCCTTAGCATGAATTTCTCTGAGTTCCCTCTTTTTCCATGGTTATTTGATATTTTGAACCTTAGTTATGGGGCAAAATGATGTTATTTACATAAATGTCAAGTTGTTTTCTGGTCAGCCTGGAGCTGCAAACTTATCATGAGGCATACTATCCAGACCTGGAGAAACCAAGGAAGACATTAGTAAAGCTATGCTGATTTCACCCCAAAACAAATCAAAATCCTGCAGTACCCTAAGATAATGTCAAGGATGAGAACAGAGCCTTGGTGAGAATTTGCACTGTGTCCCTTACATGTCCCCCTCCCTCCTACTTTTCACTTCCCACATTCCATTCCCTTAATTCCCTTTTTAAAAACCCCTTAGTAAATCTGAGTCTTTTTGATGGTTTTAGTCTGGCTATCTCCTCAGGTTTACCAGGGAGATGGGTTAGCCTAGCATCTCCCCCAGGTTACCAGTAATCCTAAAATAAAGCTGACTTCCCATTTCACCAGTGATTTGAATTTTGGGTCATTTGTTTCTGTTTGGTGGTGGGCAGAAGTTCTGGGTTCAGTAACAGAGTACTGGAACTTTCAGCAGCCAGACCTCTGAGGAGGGGAGGGAGGCTGGAGATTGAGTTCAATCACCTGGCCAGTGATTTAATCAGTCATGCCTATGCCAAGATACCCCCATAAAAACTCTGGACACGAAGACTTGGGGGATCTTTCTGGTGGGGGAATCAAATCAATGTACTGAGAGGCTGGTGTACCCTGACTCCACAGAGACAGAAGCTCCCATACTGGGACCCTTCCAGACCTTATGTATCTCTTCATCTGGCTGTTTATGTCTATTTTTTTATAATAAAATGGTCATCATTAGTATTGCACTTTCCCAAGTTCTGAGTCATTCTAGCAAACTATTTAACCAGAGTAAGTTGTGGAAAACCCTGAATTTGTAATTGGTCCAGCACAAGTGTGGTTGGCTTGGGAATGTTTGAGATTTGCAACTGGCCTCTTAAGTGGGGGCAGTCTTGTGAAGGACTTTGCCTTTAACTTGTGGGGTCTGTGCTAACAAAAGGTACAGACATAACTGAATTAAATTTCAGGACACCCAACTGGTATTAGAGAATTCATGACAGAATGCACACACCCTTTCAGGTTGGCTACTGTGTGTCTTTGATATGACCTCAATCTTTTGTTTTGGGGGGGCACTTCCTTAATCTTATTTTGCCACTACAAAAACACCCAGGCTCATCTTGTATTTACCCCTGCCTTAGAATCAGTCACTTCTCCAGGGAACCTTTTATTAGAGAATGGTATTACAAATAAAGATGTGGGTGCTGGGTGTTCTCTTTGCTACTGGTATATTATCACTATTAGTCCCTTAAAGTAGACATACCTAGGAAATATCTGTTTATACACATATCTATAATTTTTCTGCACATGTATATAACCATCTACTTACCTATCTATAGCTAAATGTGTTCATAATTATGTCCCTGTCTCTAATCCAATTCTGTAGGGTTCATTCTAGCTTTCCCCCCTTGCTTTTCAGTACTTATCTGTATTATCAAGTATTATGCACTGAAAGCCTTCATCTTCATCAGTGCTGTATTTTTGCCAATCTTATCCAACTTTAGAAAGATTACTAATTCTCGAAGTTGCTTAACTGCTAGACATCTTTATAATTTGTGTTGGACAAAAGGAGAATTCAGAGGTGCCTTGAGAAAATAAATTAATTTTTTCTCTTTGCCTTTTTTTTTTTTTCCTTTTTGTCTTTTTTCGTGACCGGCAACGGATCGCAACCCTCAGTGTCGCACCCGTACCGGACTGGGACCGGCAACGGGATCGCAACCCTCGGTGTTGCTCCCACACCTCGCTCAGCCAGTGAGCGGCTGGTCTGTATGTGGGATCTGAACCCTCGGCGGTAGCGCCGCCGCGCTCCCAAGCGGCGCACTGTAGCAGTGCGCCACCGGGCCGGCCCCTCTTTGCCTTTTAAAACTAACTCTGTGGGATAAACATATACACAGGGCATCATGAATTCCCTGGTTTATTAGGCAATACAGCAGTAACTAATGTGCTTATACCATGTATTTGCATTACTTCCACCCTTCGATCTGAGTTCTGCTGTTGGAAAAATAACAAAAGTCACTCCCTCTTTTTCTCCTCCTCATTATTCCAAGGTTTCTATCCCTTGCAGGATCATTGCATCAGGGTGGACACAGGTAAGGGATCCATTATGTTCAAATGGGTCTAGTTCAATCGTGTCGCTATTCTCGTTTGGGCAGATGTTTATTGCTGCAACTTTCTCTCATGAGAATTTTGAGGTTTCGTGATATGTCAGTCGTTCTCCAGTGTTGTGTTTATTGTACATTCTAACAAGCTTTGTGAAACTCTGTGACCTCATTTCAGATGGAATCTAAAATTTTAATCTGAAGAGTAAATTTAATCTAAAGAGTATAACAAAAGGTACAATTTTCAGAATATCTTAAATGTTTACACATAAAAATAAAAATTTACATCACCAAAACCAGACATATATGGAGTGTTTATATCATTATAGCATAATCTCGGAAAAGCTGAAAATGACCCAAAACATTCAACAATTGATAGATGGATAAACAAACTTTGGTACATCCGTACAATGAAAAACCACTCATCAACAGAAATGAATGAGCTCTTAATATACACAG